GCAGGTTTCCTGGGCTCTTACATTTTAAACACTCAGCCCACCTCCTGGCTCTCCTCTCAATCCCAAATACATCTGAAATATCAGTTAAATAATCAAGTGATGGATATATCATGCACTCAGCTAATCCTTAAAGCTTTCAAAGCAGATAAACAAGGGCTGAGCTAAAAAAGAAAACATATTTTAAAAGATTATAATTCAATGTCACAGAGAGGAGTTGTGCATGGAAATGTGGGTTACCCGTCCTCCCCTCCCCACACCACAATGCCAGGGCATGTAGGAATCCATCCTTCCACCCCATCCAAGCTCCTACATCAAACCTGTCAGTTTTACCTCCTGTTGGATCCATCTATAAAGCAAGATGAACCAAAGGCAAAGAAATATTCCCACAAGCCACCCTGCTGTTTTCAGACATCACATTTTCTCTGGTTTAGGGCCACAGAGGCCAGCACAACTCAGTATCATGAGGAATTCACCTTTCCCAGAAGCTATCCCCATGCCTGTGACCTTATGGTGCCACAGAGCAGCCACCACCACTTGGTCTCAGCTTGCAGAGATGTTTGGGTTTCCTTTGCAAGTGGTTTGATAGCTTCACGCTGAATTGCTGCTTTCTCCACCTCTCGTGGTTATATACCACTTTCTTTTTGTGTTCCCCTGTTACCCACACCATCTCACACACCTGCTTCCGAGCCCCACTCAGATGCAACCACAGCCACCTGGAAACAGCAGCTACCAGAAAAGTGCCCAAATTATCACAGGTGGGTTTGGACGAGGAACTTGGGAGCTGGGAAAGGAGGCTGTGAAAAGGTCAGCAATTTCAGTTCACCACGATCCAGGGATAACAAGCCCCCAACAGTTGGAAATGTCAGAATCACGGAGCCAAGACCCTTCTATTCTTATCATAGTTGACATAAGCGTTGCTATGGCTATAGCAGCCGTTATCAGTATCGCCACGGCCGCGGCTATCGCTGCGATGTTGGTGCGGCTATCGCTGCCGTGGGCTCCCATCGCAGCTGCTATCAGCAGCACGGCTGTCGCGCCGCGAGCTGCCCTACCTGTGCGGCATGCCGGTGGTGTAGGCGATGGTGTGCTCGTGTGAGAGCTCACAGCCACGCAGGTACCAGCTCATCTCCAGCTCCCGCAGCAGTGCCAGGCGCCGTGCCCGCTGCTGCGCCGCCAGCTTCGCCCGCGCCTCCTTGGTGCCCTCGGTGCTGCCACGCGAGGCTCGCTCCCTGCTGCCCAGGGACAGCACCGACTGCTTCCTCAGCTTCAGCGCTTCCTCCGCGCTCTTGTTGCCCACGGTTCCCGTGCGTGCCGCCAGCATCGCCGCGTCCGGCCCTGAGCGCAGTTGCTGCCCTCAAATCATTTAAACTGATTTGCGGCACGCACCGTCCTCCCTCTATAACCCTCTGCCAGCTCAGAGCTGTAATTAGATACGTGGCCGCAGAGCTTAACCCGAAAGGGGAGCTGCGACCTCTGTGTGGAAACATCTGTATGGCGTCCTGCAGGGGCTGAAAGGCACACCGTTGTGCCCATGGGCTGCACGGCGCAGTGTGGTCCTCGCCCCAAAGCGGCCTCCATCCGTGCGGCCGTGGCTGCCCTGCAGAGGAGAGCAAAACTGGGGCTCTCACCAATTGATTTGTTTGTGGAGGGAGTGGTGCTTGAAGAAGATCTGCTCAGGAAGGGTTGCTCGAGCTGAACATGCTTTCTTCTGCCTTGAAATAAAGGGTCATGGAACAAACCACGCCGGGCATGCAGGAACCCTGTGTTTGGGGAAAGAGGGAGGACAAAAGCACTCTAAGGGCACTTAGGATGTTGAATATGTTGCAGTTCTACAGTGCTATCCCACATCAGTACATTTCATAGCATTTCCCAAAAAGGGAGAAGCTTCCAGCAGCTCCAGGAGCCTCTAAACCAGCCCCGAGCCACTCAGGCAGTACACACTCCTTGCACAGATGTCTTCCAGGCTTCATACAATTGTTTGAGTTCTTCCACCTGGGAGCTGCCTACCAAAATCCAGCTTTGCTCAGGGAGGTGGGTGCCCCATCCCTGCAGACAGCCATGGTTAGGCCACGGGGCTCTGAGCACCTGACGGAGCTGTGGGTGTCCCTGTGCACGGCAGGGGGCTGGACTGATGGGCACCAGAAGTCCTTCCAACACAAACCATTCTGTGGTTCTATAATAGATTCTACGAAAAGCAAAACGAAGTTCTGAAACATTTGCATAACACACAGTGAGCTCAACCAGCTTTTTGTGTTTACCACTCACCCAACCACAGCACCACGCAGCTGTTCCCAAACAAAGGCCCTGAGCAGGGATCAGTCAGCACAGAGGTAACCACATTAAAGCACCTGCTCGCTATTTGTTCCTCCCTAACGGAGCATTGTTTGTCTCACAGCAGACCTGTGACAGTGCACATCCCACCACGTGCCACGGGTCGGTAATGCCACCGGAGCTGCCCACTCACCCTATAAAACATGCAGCAGGATCGCTTGCCTGCAAGCCAAGCCGCTCAGCTGCCATTAAACATTGATGGGCACTGGGAGCTGAGCTGGGTGAGCCCCCCGTGCCAGCATCACGCAGTCACTCTGACACAGGTTAACACTGCTGGTGCTGCGTGCCCAGCGCTGAGCTGCACGGCTGTGAGCCTGGCATGGGCTGCAGTGCAGCAAGGTCCAGGCACTCACTGGTGAAGCAAGTGGTCCCATGCTGGGGTGCAGGATGGCCAGTAGGAACAAGCAGTGTGCTGCTAGCCTGAAAGCAGAACGTTCCCCTAACACTCCTCGTCCACCTGACAGGTGCACAGCAGTAATTTTTAGCCCTGTGAGGGCTGGAAATGACCTCCAAGATCCCCAACCCATCCTCAGCTCACCCCCCTGCCCACGTCCCTCAGTGCTGCGTCCCTGCAGCTCTGGAGCACCTCCTGGGACAGTGACTGCAGCGTTCCCCGGGCGGCTGTGCCGCTGCATCACTGCTCTTTCAGAGAATATTATTTTCCTAACACCCAAGCTGCATTTTTCTCTGGCTCAGACACCACTTTACTCATCCCTAGTACTTTTCAGATGTAAATAAGAGAATCATTTCTAACAGACTCCAATAGATGCTTTCTGCTCAGAAGAGCATTAGGTTTCCATGGTGAATTAATGCACTCCACACAGTTTGCATTTAGAAGTGTTTTCCTTTTCGTTTTGCTTTTTGTATCTCTCGAACCGTTCCATGCCAGCCTGGGCTGCTCAGCCCCACCTGCACGTCCCCTCACAAGAGATCTCTTCTGCCCCATTCCAAAACACAGGAATGCAAACTCTGATCTACCAATTCTCCAGCAGTTCCAGCAAAATTTGCTTTAAGTTCACCCACTTAAGACTCTCTTAAAATGAATCCCTGCATTTCAGACCCCACGCTACGTTCACTACCAGCACTGCCCCAAATTGTCCAGCTAGGTGCACGTCCCCAGGACCTCCCTGCATACAGGGATATCCCAAGCAGGACACATGGGCAGCACTTACTGCAAGGTCCTGCCTAGAGGTTTTTAGCAGAAAAACTCAAGCCTTGCACAGGCACAGTTTGAGCTGGAAAATATCTGTAAGTGATAGCTAAGTAACATATAGATTTCATCCCATAGGAGCCAAGTAATTTTCAAATGCAGGATCCAATTAGCAAAAGCCTAAGTGATAGCCTTTAGGCTAACAGCAATCTCTCTTCACCCTATCCTCTACCTAAGGTAATTAGAACCCCATCAGGGAAAGATTCATCAGGTGCTTAATTGGTTGAGTGCCTCCCCTGTGCAACCAGCAGTAGTTCAGCAGGCCCTGCGCCCAGCCCAGGAGCACAGCATCCCCAGCCCAGGTTGCACCCAGCTCTCTGGAGAACAAGGCAGACATGTCAGAGAATTCCTGTTTGTGCTGCCCATTGCAGGCCCAGAAAGAGCTGCATGGCTGTGTTTGAGTCTTAATACTACACTGGAGGTACATCTTTCAGGTTGGATATTAGAAAACATTCCTTATCTAAGGACAAGGTGGGCACTGGCACAAGCACTGGTGGGGTGACAGTCCCTGGTGGCACTCAAAGATGTGGGCAGTGAGCAGGCGGGGGTGGGGAACTGTTCTTTCCAGCCTCAATGCTTCTGTGATTACCACAGGCTGTCACACGTGGGCCAAAGGCAGTGCAATTAGTGCAATTAGAAGCAGCAGAGGCTAATGGGTGCTGCTGTTCATCACCCACCTGGCATGGCTGCACACTGCACACATCCAGCACTGACGCTCCTCTCTCAGCAAGTCCGTCTGCTGCAATTAACCTGATGAGGAAGCAGCTCCCTGCAGTCTTTTATCTTCTCGTGGAATTTTTAGCAGTCAGCCCAGAGCCAAACATCGCACCCGAGCACAAAGAAATGCAGGTGATGTTAATTAATGCCTTTTTCACCTGGCAGTCCTCAAGCGGGATCACTGAGCACCAGGAGCAGCCAGCAATTAAGGAATGCATCACCAGAATGGGGACAGCCCCGAAAGCAAAGGGCCAAGTGACTGAATGGCCTGCATCGCATTCAAATTGGCCACAAAACGCAGCGTGGCCCAACGGGCTGCAATGCAGCAGCAGCCCAGGGGTGGCAGCTCCCAGAGCCCCCCAGCAGCAGCAGGCACAGCCCAGCAGTGCTCCCACCAGGACTGTGGGTGCTGGAGCACAGCTCGGCCATCTGGCACAGATACAAGCAGCACACATGCACACTCCTGCAAGGAAGGGCAGCTCTGCACAGCCTCAGACTGCACTGCTCTATTTCCACAATTGCTTTTTTCTTTGTAGAGCAGGAACCTACACACAGCCTCGAATCCCATGCATCTCGGGAATGAGTTACCTCTATCCCAGCACCAACACAAGCAGGAGGCAGCAGCACAGAGCCTCGTGGGGATGCAGAAGGGACAGCCATGGACACCACCTCACCCGCACAAAGGGCTGCAGCCCAGAAGGGATGGGCCCCGAGCAGCCCTAGGAAACACATCACACCGGTGTTCAAACATAACATTTTTATTTGTGGATAAAAATTAAGGCTCACAGTACTTTATCATTTCACAAGCAGAAAAAATGTTAAAAATTGAGAATGGTGGGCAATGCCCCCGATACAAATTCCTCTAACTGCTGACATGTTTTACTGAAGACTTGAGGTGAACAACTGTACAGGGCAGCTACAGGTATTAGATTGTAAACTATGTGCTAAATGTAGGATTTTAAGAAAGTGAACAGAGTATTTACGTTCCTCTCCGCTTCTGACTGTCCTATACACAGAACTGCTGGGATAACACCACTGACCTTCCTAAGAACAACCCACTCCTACAATGCATGGCACAGGTGTCAACAGGGGAAGATAGCGAAAGATCACAAATTTCGTTTCCGTAAGACCTTTCGATTATAGTGCAATAGTTTATGCCTAGACATTTCAATATTCACCTTTCTGGTTTAAAAAACAAAGAGAAACAAGTAAGATTTCTAAAAGAGCACAGGAATTGCTGCCAAGCTCCATTTCACAGACCAACATGATGAGAAGATGTTTAAAGTGGATGCCCAACTTCAGCATACACACAGTGTGCAGGAACACCTTACACCTCCAGTGCAGATGGAAGCACTTCCCAGTCCACAGCACGCAGCAAACACAAGATTCCCATCCTGGTGTGCTGGGGACACATCACGAGGCACCAACACACCAGTCCTGATGCACATCGTGGCCGTTGTCACCCACACCTCGCCAGCTGCTTTGTAACCACACTGCAGTTTGTTTCCAGGAGACCAGCTAGAAGTGTCTCACTCAAAACTGGGGAGGTTTGGGATATGAGAAATGCTCAATATTCCCTACTTTTTAGTGATTCCTTCTGTTTTGTCTATTTGCTGTCAAGGTAACTGACAACGTAGCAGTGGCAGCAAGAGCAAGCCTACTAATAACAAGCAACTGCTACAGCATTCAGAGGCTGAAGTACTCCTGCAGCACACCAGGGAGATTCTATTGTCATCTCACCATTTACCTAAGAGATACCAACGCAACAATGAAAACTATCCTCAGGTCTTTCAGACTAAAAAATGAAGTGTACTCTAAGGCTGTCAGTTTATCAGGGAGCTGTTGTTTGAAATATGATACACTAAAAAATTAGGTTTGCTTTCAACAGAACCCATGCTGTAGCAATAGATTCTGCCACAGCAACCACTGATACACAGCCCTGCGATCACCAGCTTGTACAGATCACAGCCCAGTAGCAAAAGAGCATGAGTTAACATGTGTAACTGCGTCCACATAGCATAAAGCTCACCGAGGTGACGATGAGTGCAGTTACAAGTACTACACCAGCTCAGAAGGAGGCAGCTGAGATGCACAGCAGTTAGGATCTGTTCACCCAAGCCCCATGCGAGGTGCAAGTGCAGGGCAGCTCATGGCCACTGCAGCAGGAGTGGCCCAAGAGTGCAGGGGCTGCTGCACGCCACCTCCAGAGGAAATGCAGCTGCTCAGGAATACAGGCAGAAATCAGAAGTTCACATATTAGCCACGTCCTGTAAGCTGGAGTTAAACTAAATTTCCATAATGCGTAGGCAGAAAATGCAGAAATAATAGGAACACACGATGTGCAACCAAACAAAACAGAACACTTTCAACCATTATTCCAGTTCATTGATCTGTGTAAGCAGAAATATAAGTAGCTACAGCCATGAAACACGCCATGCTCCTGAACAGTTGAGAGCAACTGTTTTGCCCACATAGAACTTGAACAGTTGCCTTCCATTCAGCTGCAAGAAATGGATGGCAGGGCTGACTGGGAGCACACAGCAGCAGTTCCATGGGCAGTTATCCAGCAAGCTGCTCAGCTCAGAGCTGCTACAGAACCTGCAACTCCACAGACAGCATCTGCAGGACATGCTCAGCACTCTCAGGTGGATGGAGACAGCTCTGCCTTGATGTATCAGGAAAGCACAGGTGTCCAAGATAAACACCTCTTAAATTATTGCTTAACTACAGAAACAGCAGAGTATACACGATGGAAATAATCTATACTGGTTGGGTAAGCCACTCCAATACTGTGACTCCACACTAATGACTATAAGGATTTTAAAAAACAAGCTGAATACATTACATTAAAAAAAAAAATAAATCCTGTGAAAGCTAATGTGAAGAAAACAAACTATCATCAAGTATAACGTAAGCACATGGGCAGCAGCAGGCTGTGAAGGGACTATTGCATAAGGGTTGGAGACCAGAACCAGGATTCGGCCATCCTGGAGCTCTGGTGCCACAGCTTTTAGAGCTGCACTCCTGCTTTTACTCCTCTCCGAGGCCCCAGAAGCACACAGACACCTCGCAGGGATGTGACACTTCCACAAACACAGCGTGTGATGGGGACATGCCTGTCACCAACCAACACACCTACCAGGCAATGCAAGAGGGAGTGAGGACAGACAGGCAGGCAGGCAGAAGGTCATCTCATAACACTTCAGCATTGCTCTTTTGGGACTCAATGTTATTGCCACGGGCTTACAGGTCAAACAATCTAGAAACAGGCCTAACAGCACACAACAGATACACGTTAATTCCACAACTCAGCAGTACCCACTACTCCATTTGGCAAAATATTTATTTATAATAAATTTGTTCAAAAGCAGTTGGTCACAAAGAATTCATTTTACATTTTTAGGCTGTAACAATGCTTTTGGTAGAAGTAAATAAGCTGTCTCTTTTTACACAGTGTACAAAACCAAAGACAAGTTGAAATGACAGTTAACAACTGGAACACGTGGGAATGGGAAGAATCAGTAAGACAAAGGCCAAAGCAATGGGAATCTGTCTGCACACAGGCAACGCTGCCATCATTTACCCGTACAAATCCTCAGCCCCACTCTGTTATCCCTGCACTGCTCGTCACCGCCGCCCTGCGCTCCAGGAGAGGAGTCAGCTCCAGTCACTCTTTCACAGTACTGCATGTCAACACTGGGAATGGTTTCTGATATGATTTAGACTGCACACAGTACTTCAGTAAAAAAAAGTTATTTACTCCCACTCCGTAGTTCCTGGTGGCTTTGAGGTCAAGTCATACATCACCCGAGAAATGCCAGGAATCTTCTTTATCTCTGCCACCATTTTTAATACAACCTGGAGGGGGGAAATAAACAGATCTGTAAAAAGCACATAGAACAGACGTGACGAAAACTACCCTAAGAAAGAGTTATACAAGGAAAACACTGTTCATTCTGTTCTATAAACAGGAGAGAAAAATCCTACAGCTCCTAGCATATTACTACCAATTAAGAAGTAAAAACAACAAAGGAAAACTCCCAGCTTCTCAATATTTGCAGCTGTATTTGGAACCTGCTGATTTCTGGCACTGGCAATAGAACTGAGCAGCAATCGCAACACACTTCCCTCAAGGCAGCAGCTCTTCAGCTTCAGAATGATTTTTTTGAGGTTACGTTTTACTGTGCTGCTCTGCTCTGCTGTCAATCACTTGCAGACATCTCAGACCAGCACCTCCAGCTGACCCACAATCAAACAGAAAGCGGCAGCCTGATAGAAATGATGAACTTTTCAAACCAGAAAAGGGAGCTGTGAAGGTTAAAAAATAGCAGAAGGAAGCATCTAATGGAAAGACTGCCCATTGGCAGCTGTTCTCCAGAGTAATCAATTAACGTTAGCTCCATCAGAGACAAAGCACTCCAGGCTGGACACCGATGAAGCTTCCTAGAAAAAGTGCTTGAAACATCTTCCAGTGACCTGATCTGGAAACAGCACGTTTTGAGATGTTAAGCAGCACTTTCAGTAAAGTAAAAGTGGGAAGGAAAGCAATTCCAGAGGGCATTGGTAACTTCCAATTACCAACGCAGGCAAAAGCTTCAAAATCTCTGCTATTTTGATGGGAAAACTTCTAAGTCTGTCATTCCCATTGAAACCACTGTCAGCTTCTCTCTGTTACTGTTTTTTTTCCAAAGCAACACAACAGTACACTGTGCCTAACCAAGAGCAGGAAAAAAACCAAGAGTGAAGAAAGTTAGAACAAGTCACCTACAACACAAGCTCTGAAAAGGAACTTGAAGGTCCGTATTACCTCTTCTGGAACCTCATTACCAGGAGTTGCTGCAATCCCAGTCATGAAGTCGCTCGTAATAAACGTCCGGATGACCACGGATCTCTGGCAGGACGGCTGTTTCTGCAGCGGGTCCCGATCGAAATGCAGCGGGGTCAGGATTATTGGCATCTGGCTAATTTTTCCAGCATAGCCTTCAGGAAAACAGCAGCACCAAGTGCTTCAGTTTGGTTTTGAAGTACAAGCACGACTGAAGTTTTACAGGATTGCCTACACATATTTCAGATGCGATTCCTCCACTTACATGGAAAGAAACACCGCAGTTCTGGGACTTCACCACCAGGCCTCAGAAGATCATACTGATTATCTAATTATGTAATTAGCGGTGCATACACTAAAACTACTCAAATTGCCACTTGAAATAATCTTCAAGGCCTGCAGGCATGCAGAACAGAACTGGATAATCCGTTAACTCTGCAACTGACTGCACTTGCAACTTAAGATCTCCTTCCTACCCACAGAACATAAGCATTCAATTCTGTTCCAACATTCACTGTAATGAAGAGCAATTCTCAGAAAGAGAAATTCAAAAAAAACTTACATTTTGAGATACTATCAGCCATTACCAATGAAATCTAGATAACACCAAATACAGGGTAGGGTGATTTAACAGTTAGCTCCCTTCCTTCCACAACCAAGCATGATTTCAAAACCACGCCAAGTCTCTCTACACAGTTCATCTACTTCAGGCAGATACTGATAACTGAGATCAGCAGCAACAACTAATTTGACTTTCTGCTGGCTAATAGTGGCTCTTGCAGGAGTTCACACTGCAGCGAAGTATCATGCCTCTGAGCTGTGCAATGTGTCTGAAGCAAATCCCACTCCTACCAGAAGAATGGTCCCAGCCACAGTCCCACGTGTGACAACAGGCAGCAGACGAGGCAGCAGCACCCAGCTGTGAGGTTTATCTCCAGCTGCCATATGAAGAATGAAAAAGCTGCAACCCTACCTCTAATTCTGCTAGCAGAAAGCCCAGTAGTTCCTGCCTTTCAGCTCTCCACCTCCAGACCTTTAAGAAAAGGCAGTCGCCTGTCATCTCATTCAGCAATAAATTTTGGACGTAACCAAGAAGCCCATGGAGTGACTGTGCATTATGAAACCACACCTATAGGTGCACGGGGATCTTGAAACAACAGCTTCATCTATGGGACAAGGCTAATAAATACCTACCAGACTCCCTGAGAATGTTGTGAGCCTCAAAGTCAGCTTGACGTAAAGTGCTGAGGACTCCTGTTGTCAGGAATGTGGGTGTGACATCAGTGGGAGGCTCTTTGACTGGTGGACCAAACACGTACACAACCCTGGAAAACAAACCAGATGGTAGGAAAACACGTTTTCTGGAAGTGGAATGTAACAGACTGCCTAAAGACTACATCTTTAGCATTGCAGAAAAAATAACTGAACCAAAAAAATACCCAATATTTGGTTTCGCTCCTTAGCCACCAACTAGAACTTGTTATAATTTAATGGATATATTCAGTAAAGGCAACACGTGTGCTAGCTTTGCAAGTCAGGTGTACCAATTCACCACTAACTCACTGGTATTACAGAAGACTTTTTTTTTTCTTTTCAATTTTACTTTGATGTGAGTAAAAGTTAAGATTATTCAAAGAAAGCTACTTATGTGCTTAAAATGTCTATCTTCAGTCCCATTAGGAAACCACCATATCATTGACAGGAAACCTTCTTTGTTAAGGAATAGCTGTGTTTTCAAAACAGGGCACTAACACTGCTGTTTACAAATCTATTTCACTGCATTTGTAATAAAGTATCTTCCGAATTCAAACCAATCACATCAGCTTTATCTTTTTAATCTCACCATTATACGTGCTGCAGAACAAAAAGCAATATTGTCCAGCTGGCCTCACAGAAGCATTTACTGTGTATCATGAATGTACACAAGTTATTTGAGTTTGTAGATACAAAGTAAGAACACTTGTCAAAAATCCAAAGCAGGGCAGGACCCACGCTTGACATTCTGTGTCTCTGTTTGTAGTAAAAGCATGCACAGCTGGGCAGCCACCAACTGCCCCCAGCACACTCCTCCAGCTGCTGCTTCCCCAGCCCCCCATCAACATCGACCCAAAGCTCTCAGAAACACAACCTGGTATGGCAGAACTCCTGGGGTGGGAGTATATTCAGGAGGGGAGTATTAAAGCCAGAGCAGCTTAAAGACAGCAATGCTGTACATCCAGCACACACTGCCCTGAATTCATGCCTTCTTTTATTTGCTCTGCACATAATTTAGAAGAATATCTTGTAATTCAACATGTCTCCAAGTACAGTAGCTCTTCCAGCGGGTGTCACTTCAGTGACAAAATTAAGTCTTGCTATAAGCAATTATAAGCAGCTTTGTCAAAGTCTACAGCTGAGCAAGGATACATATTTTCTAGAACCGACTTAATCTCTGAGCAACTTGAGAAGAAAACACATATTCACAAGAGACCTCAATTAAGATAAAACCACCCAGCTTTGGAACTCTTCCTTGCAGCACTAGAGCTGACAGTCGTGCAAATCCCCTTCTTGACACAACGTGTGATCCCACAGCTCAGCAGCAGGCTCAGAACTCTTCAGAAAACATTTAAGTTACGTTTGAAGTTGTCTAATTGAGTGATTAAAATGAGGAGATAAACTATCCATTACTTCAAGTTGGTATTTCCAGAAATAAACCCAAGCTTGGATTTATTATTTGTAACCTCCATATAATACACATTTGTTCACAAGAAGTTACACCATAGATTCAGCAGGGCACTAAGCTTCCACGCATCAGTAATCAGAAACAAGAGCAGCTTGGCACTGAGCAGAGAACACTCACCTGTTGATATTGTGGCACATGCGAGGTATGAGCCTGGCGAGAAACATGAGGGACTCCCAGTGTGGGGCATCCTTACTGGAGATCCCACACACGTAGCTGTACGAGCGGCAGTCACCCTGGCAATGAATGGAACATGAATTTCACTACCAAAATATTTCACGCCGCTTTTCCATGTCAGTTACAGGACCAGCCTTTGTGTCAACATTCAGCGGACACAGAAATCAGAATGCTCAGAGATATCAAGTAAATGGAGAAAACACCAAAGTGAGACAGGTCTCTTGGGAGCTGGCAAGAGCACATAAAAGGAAGGGGTTCAGAATTCATAAGGTGACCACAACACTGGGACTTGATTACATGTCGATATTTTGAGGGCACCATCCGAGGAAGGCTTGTGATGAGGTACAGAAGTCTGCTGATGATATTGCCATTGCAAGTAATAACAAAAGCTGACTGCAAGGACTTACAGAAGAGACATGCAAGGTTAAGCAGCCAGTAATAAAAGTAAAGGTGTAATTCAATAATGATAATGCAAAGAAAGACGGCTCAGCCTCGAAAGGAGCAACAGGAGTACAACAGGAATCTATAAGGCTATGAACATCAAGAAGAAATTGCCTGTGCAAGCAACCAGCATTATTCAACCTTAATGACATCCTCAAATATGACACCTGGCATTTACCCATGTATCTATTCAGGTCTCTCAACACCTGCACTCTACCAGAGCTGACACAAGACACAGCAGTCACAGCCTTTTGAAGTTGATTTCTAGAGTTCTTAGCAACATCACAGTAGCAATCCTTACACTTTCTAGCAGCCTGCCAACTGCTAGGAAGCAGCTTTAAGAATATTCCTGGAATGTATTAATTTACCTGCACTCCCACAGTTTTGATGGGTAACAAGAAGGCATTCAGTGAATGTAGGCTTGTAATCTGCATCAGTTTCTCCTGGTCTTCTTCAGTCGTGCACGCTTTGACCCTTTGCAACAAAGTATGTGGCTGTGCAATGATGCAGAAAAATAACTTTTAACTAATTAAAGCCCCCACACATTCAGACACAACATAAATAAAATTAAGTAGCTGGTTGGCTAAATATAGTCCACATTTACCCTTGGGAACTGATTACAGAATACCTTTTGTGTAACAACTAAGTTTCAGTGAAAGCAACTGTATGCATTTTACGCTGAAGCCCTCCCAGGACCATAGGCGAAACTGCTTTTCTGCGTTCATTCTCTCTCCCAAAGCTGAATTTTTCATGCCTGTTGTTTATTTCAGCACAGAACAAAGCAATGCTGCGTTACCTTACACTGCAACACAACACACTTTCAAGAAGAGCACTTACAGATGCTTTTCCTTTGGCGTTCCTTCAAAAAAGCTCTGGAAGTTGTTCTGGACACGGCACTTCCTGCTGCTCTCTACTGGTGGCTTTTCAGCCCCCTGCAGCTCAGTTTGGAGCTCAGGAGTCAGTTTGAGAAACCAGGAAGGTCCCAACAGGTCAAGGATTGAGAGCTTACACGTCATCAACCAATCACTTCAGGATTTCTGTTTGGGACATCCAGCAAATGCTGGCTCCTCACTCTTGCACCCTCAATTCAGGCACTCGGTGGCTGTTAGTACACGCCATCCTAGAAAATTACAGCTATTCCAAATAGGGAAAATCTTTTTTCTGACACTATGAAATTCAAATCATCTTCTGAAATCCTCATCTCCACGAATTTTGACTAAAAGAGGATTTATGTGCTATCTGAAAGGTACATAAGCTTCCGATTTACAGAAGTCACTCAACACTTGCCATAGCCAGGACTTGAAAAATTCTACTGTACCGTACCAAATGGCTTTGAGCAAGTTGGACTGGAATGCATTATGCCCAAAGAACACAAACCAGTCATTTTTAAATTTTAGCATCTTAATCTTCCCAGCAATGCACTACAGAATGATCACACTACTTCTATACACGTTAGAACCCAACAGTTTTGATACCTTCTTAACACTCGCAGAAAAATCCGCAACTATTTTCAAGATGTTGTTTGTTTCAGGGAAGTCTTTGCACACATAAGGCTCCTCAGCACATATCACTCTGATTGCCAGACCTGGACCTGCAACGTAAAATTGAAAAACACATCACACTAAATAACATGAAAAGTTGACTTTCAACTCAAGAAGCAACAGCACTGGAACATCAGGTCAATCATTAAGTAGACTATGCTTTGCCACCACACCTCCACTTACACCGTCTTGACACTCAACAAAACAAGCCAAAGAAATAAGCCAGCAGTTTATTCTGGAACAGTATTTCTGGTCAGTACATTTAAGCACTAGTTACTGACATTTTGCATTGGCTGCTTGTGTAAGGCAGCATTAGTGATGATGAAGCATGCTGGATGGCAAGCCAAAGCAAACAGTAACCTCCTCCTTCCCTTTGCTAGGCAGCCTGGATGGCAGAGTTGGTTATAACATACAGTTGAATCTGATTGCTTTTTAAAGAGATCCCTGGAGGCTATTTGGCCTGCTAACTACTTGACACAAAAGTTCTCAGCAAATTACAGATGTTCATCTGAACAGTGTCATTAACCTCATGCAGTGCTGGTGCATTAACAGAGCAGCCTAGGCATTGTGACTGTGACTACTACACACCCTGCAGGACAATTTTAGAAACACAAAGAGCACATTTCTTAAAAAGATGGACTTTGTTATTACATTACATAGTTTGATGTTTTCTGGTTGAGAACCGTTGTTATTCACCATGCAGTCGTTTTCAAAACAGCAACAGTTACTTAGAAAGGCAGGCAGACAATGGCCATTATTTCATGCAAGATATATTTGACAGCTGAGACAGCATTCAGCTGCACTTCACTGATAATTCTTGCTTTGGCTTACAAAATTAAGAAGAAACAAATACAGCTCTCTATGATAACTCAATTATAAATCTGTTATTTTAAGCACTGTGCATAAAATCAAGCTGCTCTCAATTACTCATTTCCTCACAAAGAAAATCCTGTGCTTAAACTAAAGCCTCAGAAAATCCACCACATTAGTTCTGTGTTCAGAGGAAAGTTCCATTCTCCAACACAAATTTATTCTGCACATTAACTATCTTCCAAACAACATTGATGCACACAGCCCTTCACTAAGCAGCATGGATTCTGGTACCTGGGAAGGGATGCCTTGAAACCAGCTCTTCGGGAAGTCCAAGCTCTCTTCCTAGCACTCGAACTTCATCTTTGTGAAAGTCTTTTAGTGGTTCTATAACTTTACCCTTAAAGAAAAACGAACAAAAGAAAAACCACAGTGATTTACACTCTAGCTTACATATTCAAACAAAAAGCCTCAAATGTTTAGGTAACAGGCAGTCAGAGTGGCCTGCTTTTCACAGCATCAGCTGCCAACACTTGCATAAACACTGGAAAGAAAAGTACATGTGAATGTGGGCTTTGCAGAACAGTTACAGGAGAGGGGTAAGACAAAGTTTGTTTGTGCCAAAAGTATCAATGGCTTAAGCAGTGCAAATACAACCGTAGGCCAGTCTGGTTCTGACTGTCTTCCAAAATTCATACTGATCAAGAAGCTTTGAAAATACCTCAGAGAACTGTGAATAGGTTTGTTTAAGCTAACCAACCAAGGGTACAATAAAAAAGACAAGGCTCTGCTGCATCTTCAGAGTGTCTTCTGTCACCAGTTCAACCTCCTGTGTTTGTACCATTTCTGAACTCCCAGTCTTTATCCACAGGTGTCCACAGCAGGATATTCCAAAAAGATCTGTGGGTTCTTAAGTTGACAAATGGTAAACAGATTGTGCACCACCAGCACACTGCTGGCAGACAGCCGACCAGGCCACTGACTTGATGCACAAGCCATGAAAGAGCACAGAGAACGGATCCTCAGATCAGAGCCTGACAGATCTACTCCTAGTTCTCAAGTCACTTAAACACATTCACAGAATCATAAAGGTTGGAAAAGACCACTAAGGTGGTCCAGTCCAACCATTAACCCACCCCAATGAACTACAAGTCCCCAAGTGCCACATTTCTACCATTCCTGACTTCTTGACTCCCCCACTTGCAGTACCTGGCCATTCCCTCTGATGAGAAATTTTTCCAAATTCTCACTCTCTTCCAAAGGAGAATATTATGTCTGTAGTGGTCAGTGCTACTGAGAAGACTTGCAGTCATGTCTTTCAACAGGAACTAATGATCATTTCACCTAAAAGCACATAGCTGCTGTTGCCTGAATTCATATCGTGTGCAATCTGAGAGATCAATGCCATTACAAAACATTGCATACTGATGTTCAGAATGAGACACAAAGGGAGAAGTAAGCAATCCATTACATTATGAATTCCACCTGAATCAGACTAACGTTGTCTGAAAAGCCTTTCAGCAGTCATCTGCTACAGGTGTTTGGTATTGGCTTTGCTTCCATACACAGTTCTCATAGGTTTAAGTGTTAAAAGACAAAAGAGCAACGAGATCATTTTCAGGTAACAATTGAGAGCAGCACTGTTCACACTGCAACAGCATGGCTTCAATCTGTTGACATTTTCACTAATATTCAATGCTGGACAATACTGAAGCCATTCTGATCACTTTGAGAACATGGCAACCAGAGAGAAGTGCAATAAGTTACAGTATTGAAGCAGAACTCAAAGGGCCTCACAAGCATCACGAGATGCATCAACATGGGCCAGTTATATCAGCAAAACATAAGTTGCTCATCTTTTACATTCAGCATCATCACATTTGTGATAACCAGAAGGACACACCAGTATCCAAATTTTCATTTACCTCTTCTCTTAACTTTCGAATCAGCTCTGTGTCATTGTGATGAGTTTTGATTACTTCAGCTTTGCCACTTGCAACAAGGGAAGCGCTTTCAATGAGATCAGGTCTGAGGGTACCCTGAGCAAGAAAAACCTCTTCAGGTTTCAGATTCATTTCTCCAATAACTTCATTGGCAATCTGTAAGATGGAAAAGAAAACTTTTCAGTGTCCAAAGGTCTCAATGGATTGCCAATGGATTAGGTCATCCATAGCCTGCACAACACCGTGCTTCCGAGTGCACAGCGCTTCAGAATGAAGCAGTCCGAGATAGAAAACGTTTATAATTCTTTTTTTCCCACATGAATTCTAGATACATTACCTTAACAAACGTGTCACCAATAATCTTTCTTTTTTCTTCAGGACTTGTAGTCATATTTAAGGTCTTGCTAATTCTTTTACGTGGAGTTCTGTCTTCATCAGAGATTGGCAGAGTTGTTGTACCGTTATAGAAAGAATGAGCTGCATTCACCACTGTATGAAATTACAGGAATTGGTTGGCAAAGCCAATACAGATTTATATGTAAGATTACAAAGAATAAGAACGACTATTGTTCTTAGGAATACTGCAGTCGTTTAAGTGCTGATGGTACTAAATAGGCCTGTTTGATACCTCGAGAATGAACTGCTGCAAAAGCACGTTACTTCTTCTATCAACATGCTCTAGAGGGTCATTTCTTAAATACCATGAGGCTAGGAAGCAAGTTCAGTTCATGTCTCCCCTCTTGGATTACAACTTACTTGCTCCATTTAAATAGCTACAGGATGGTTATTAAGCTAAGGCCTTACTGCAACCAAAATTACACAACGCTCTGTTTCCTCACGGTGCATCATATCTCTTAATTTAGAGAGGCTCTCGATACAGAGATCAGCTAGGAGGTTCTCTGGCATCTTCTACCAGCACTGAACTCCATGACTGACAGAAGGCACATTTCCCATAAAGGGATTCCCTTATTTATTACAGCCCAGACTTTTCAGTCTGGGGAATGCAAGGATAAGGCACAGCGTTCCTCTGAAACAAAATAAAACAACACAACAAAAGAAATCCTGCACTGCTGTGTGTAGAACAAACTCTGGCCTTCACCATATTGGCCATATTGCTTGAAGTCATAAGACTGCTTCTCAATAAACTACTCCACAAACAACACACTCCCATAAAACAGGAGAGGGAAAAAAGCCTTGAGGAAGAACTTTGGCTCCAATGGCATTCAATCACCCAAATGAGCTCAGCTTCTGAAGACAGACATATAGAACAAGAAGTGAAGCTCCACTGGAGGACTCTTAACCACACTACAGACAGGACTGCAATTAAATGAGCTTTGCCACAGCTCAGTGGTACCTTTAACCTGAATCCCAAGTTTTTTCAGTGCCTCCTCCACAGACTGACTTTCTCTTTTGCGCATAAATCCGTTGTCTATATGTACAGCTATCACCTGATCCTGGTTTAAAGCACGATTCAGCAGAGCAGTGCAAACAGTTGAGTCCACACCTCCACTGAGTAAAACCTGAGGATGAGGAAAAAAAGAGAAAACAGACTTGCAGAGCTGTCGAGGAAGAAAAGTATTAACTACTAATTCAGATACAGCTGCAACGATGAAAGCAGAGTATTGATTTCTCATTTTCCTCCAAGTCACCACTGGGAAGTCAAACAACACATTGACCCAATTGTGCAATGCACAAAAGCTTTCTCAAACCTGCTTAATGTATTACCCAAATCATGACAATTCTGCACTTTTCCACTTACCCAGACTAAATGCACGAGTGTTTTTCCTCAGATTTTTGCAAATGATCTTTTGACTTCAGCTCCAGATGCTTACCAGAACTTTTGATGAGCCCACTTTCTCTTTGATATTTTGAATGCACTGAAGTTCTCTGTTTTCCACTGTAAAGGTCCCGCTGCATCCCGCGATATCATACAGAAAATTCTTCAGGATCATTTTTCCATTCACTGTAAGGCTAACTTCAGGGTGGAACTGTGCTCCATAGAGTTTTTTAGACTCATTTGCTATACCTTCATTGGTGCAAAGAAATGAACGAAGGAAAATAATTGGATGTGAAGTGTGCATACACAGCAAAATGAACATTTGCTCCAAATGCACTAAGCTTTATTTTTAAAACTGTATGTTCTTTTCAGAAGGTTAAAATACAAAAGGCAAATTGAAGCATCACAGAATTTCACCAGGAAGTCATTCAAAAAGGTGCAATTCATTTATTTTCTAGAAATAACGAGTAACATCAGCATCCGTAGCAGATCTCTGCTCCCTCAGTATTACTGAACCTCCCAGGAAGTTGAGAAAATCTGATATTATTAAGCCATCCATGCTTCTCATTGCCACTCCTGGTTACCAGAGCCTCATTTCTTTCAGAAGCAAACAAGTTGCCATTTTAACGTCATTAATCCAAAAAGTCAGTTTATACAATTCACAGACATTGTCCAGAATTTCTCTAATTAGTTACTGGTCTGATTTAAGAGCAGGATGTAAAACATTGCTGACTCTTTATTTTTTTAATGAAAGATTTTCATTAACTCACATGAACAGCTTGAAATCTTACTAAGTGTTTGAGTAAACTTAAGACCCTTCCATATCTTCCACCTACCAGGAAAGGCTCTCAAAGAGGCTGCCTGGTATTCAGAACTTTGAGTAGTTGACAAAAAAACAAAATTTTCCCATGACATCCTGCAGGTAACTTTTAAGTCTTGTAACAAAGACTATCAAAAAAACCAATTTCAGTTAAAACAAATACCTGCTATAATGTTCCCAGACTGTGCAACCACTTTGAATCCATCAGCAACCTTATCCACACTGTCCCCATGAGTGAGGAGCACAAGCTCTTCCTTCTGAAGGCCCCTAGACAAAGATTAAAGTCTAGAATCAATAACAATAAGATAGCCAGATTTAAAGAGAGTGCCATACATTGCAGTGTAAATGTGACAGAAGTCACACATCAAACTTTCACAGTGCTCTCACTTACAGAGCCCACACACACACACACACACACAAATCAGCTACCTGCAACACCAATCCTCAAACACCTTACCTTGTACTAACGACACAACGTGGGTGGTTTGTTGGGATTTCTTCTTTCCCCCTGGAGATGTGCTCCAAAAACAACCAGGCCCCTTTTAGATACATGCAGGATTTCCTTCCCAGAAGCACTCACCTCCATCTGGGACTCCTTCATTGGAAGCTGCCAAAGCTCCCATGCAATGCATTCATCACAAAAAGAGGAGTGTATCTCAACTCAGAAGGTTTTTGCTAATTTGATGGGAGTTATTTGTTTTTGCTGTTTTTAAAATAACTCAACGTTGAAATATGCCCTCTCTGACACGTACAGCCCTCTACTGCCAGTCAGGATATCTGGATTCCTGCTTTTTATTCCAATTAAGTGAAGTTTCCTTGGTCAAATCTGAATGTCCTCAGAACAATTCTGGGCATTCTAGACACGAGGTGGGATATAAAGTCCTACAATAGCTCTACAGGGAAGAAGTCAATAAAGTTGCATCTCTGGGCACAACTAAACCATTAGGATTACTGCAAGGAACTTGTGAGGCACTGACAAACTACTAAGAAATCTAATTCTGATTTTATAAAACATCACAAAGCAATTTTGAAGGAAGGCAGAACACATGTGGTTTCAAAATTACTGTTAATACCTTTCAGAAAGTGGATGGGTGCCAGCTAACATAAAGCAATGCACTGTCAAGGAGAACACAAGAGCTTTACGCAGACTTTTGTGCAGCAGTACTTGATAGCAACTCAATTAAGACAATTTACTTTGAAATAAAAGGGTTTATATAAAATTCTAAACAAAAATACCTACATTTCAAAAGTCAACTGAGAAGTTATTCCTGAATATTTGCTTACATACATAACTTGCCTACTCATGAACACAGCTGTAACGGGTTATTAGAAATTGTAAGAGCCTGGATGCAGTTTCACTGTCTTCTGAAAAACACCCTTCCTCTCACTCAGTCACCAGTTTCCAGACCAGTTCCATTCCCTTCCCAATACTGTTCTCCTAACTCAAAGCATCCATGTACCTGAACAGTGAACACGTGTTATCCAGAGTAATGTTGAACACTCCATCTTCTCTGACGCTCTTCTTGTGCACTGTGCCTCCAAACACCTTGTTCATCATCTGCCAAAACACAAAGACGACACGAGAAAAGCATGACTACTTAGTACTGCTTTATTCTTTGTACTGCAGCCTGTGACCAACAAATAGTTCTAGTCCTTGAACACACAGAAAGACAGATTTTCATGACTATCCTCATTTTAAATAGCACTTGGCAAAACCATAAGAATTCTTTTCAAAAAGGAGCACTGGGCTCATTCTCTTCCTCTGGCCTTCTGTCAGCATAGCTGGGGACTACTGCTACACACACTGAGTAACAGAAATACACAGCAGCAGGCAAGGGGCAAAGATGCACAAGACAACACATATTCAGTACTGTAAATCAATGTGTGCTTCTAAATGACTGCTCTGCACATCAGTGGAGTATCTGAGGCCAGTTGCCACAAAGACAGATAAGCTGCTAAACAAAAACCTGACAGCCAGCCCTCAGAGAAGGGCCCTCACATAGGCTTAACCTTCTTGAGATCTGCCTGATCATCTCTGGAGAACCAGGCAAAAACTTAAGTCTGATTTTCGTGACCACAGAGACTCTTCTTAGCCCTTGTTAGGTAAGAGTAGCACAAATCTCACCTGATTATTTCTTTCTAAAATTCAACTTCAAAAGGCAAGGTGAGGCATTCTGCATTTCACACTTCAGAAGTCTCAGATTTTCTCATTCAGATATGACTGGTAACAAACACACACACTTTACATTTTCACCTCCTAACTACGTTGTTTCAGAGATTTAAGTTATTTTACATTTAGTTTGATATTTCACTGGCTGTGCTAGTCTGATTCCAATCTATTCTGATAAAAGTAGTGGTGTGTTAACACAGACACTTGATTCAGTTCTGTAAAGTCAGCCTTGAGGAATGCCCCTGCTTTAGGCTAGCTAACATGGTTTTTAAATTGCTTGACATTTTAAGGCACTTCCACTTTATTACAACACACATTTCCCTTTAGAACAGGGAGTGCCAGCATTGTTTCCATAATTACCAGCCCTTCTTGAGTAGTTTTTCCAGCCATATTCTGCACCTCTGAAGGCTTTATAAACTGCTAACCTCATGAAAAAACAAGATGCACGTGCAGAGGTCATGCATCTGATCTGTCCTTTGTCCCCATGGGAGTGGTTCTTCACTCCATTTGGATCACTAGATCACTGCAGGGTCACCAAAGCACGCTCATGAGCTATAATAGAGAGATTCCACACTTGAAAATCAAAGGAAAAAACTACTTCACCTGTTTACGATGGACACGTTCTCTAATATCAACCAGATGGAATTAGTTAATGACTGCCAGGGTGCATTTATTATGACAAAAAATTGAGCGCAGAACTCAGTTCACAGTAGCAAAGCAAGAAGAAAAGCATTTCTGCTGCTGGTAACACTGCATGCTCAGTTTACCAATTAGCACCTTAAAAATATCTTTCGCATTCATGGCACACAACACTGCTTATTTTGGAAAGCTGGTCCTGTAGCACTTAACTCTGGCTAATTGCAGCAACAAGGCTTTCACAGGCAAACATCTCTCCCTCCACCATACCTGCATGCCATAGCAGATCCCAAGAACTGGTTTTCCTATTGTAAATATCGCTGGGTCGAACCATGGTGCATCTTCAGCATACACAGAATTTGGTCCTCCAGATATGATGATAGCTCTGCAGACAAGAGATAATCAAATTATCTCACATTTAACAACTTCATTTGAACACCGACATTGCCTTATAATGCTCATAACTCTGCATATTCTGAATTAAATGCTAATACAGATATTCCAGCAGGCAGTTTAAGTTTGCTAGGCTACAGCTAGCAAAAACAGTTTACAAGAGAAGTATTTCATCAGGTTAAACAAAGTCAAATATAAGCCAGCTTAAAACAGGGCTGCATTTCACATTCCCAGCCAAATGCTGACTACAAGAGAAGCAAGATGGCGAGAATCAAGCACAGAGCATTAGCGTTGCAACACAAACACTGCGCATTGCCTGTGCCATCTGGAGGAGAGCCATGCTCAAAAAGAGTCGCCTGTGTTTCTGGAGCTGTGAGAGCAGCACTGCTGGGCTGGAGCTGCAGAAGGAGCAAGGAGGGCTGGGGAGCTGCTGGGGATGTGCAGGAGTGGCTGGGAGCAGCTCAGGGGCTGGGCTGCAGAGACCCGGGGTGACCCACCTCAGCCACCCCATGACTGTGAGAGCATCTGCTCAGAGCCATGCATGTGGAGCACCAAGTAATATAGAATAAGGAAAACGTAGCTACACCTATAGACTAAGTGCTTTTTAATGAGAAGTCAATTAGCTACTGCCTTGTTTAAAAAAGAGAATTACAGGCTTCAAGTCTGCTTCCCTTACTTGCCAATTAAGAACTCAAGAACACAGAAAGATTTCCTGTATCTGAACCCTTAAAATACAAAATGAATTGGGAGATGAGAGAGGAAAACAGGAAGAAAGCCAGTGCGAGTCATGACCCGCACCTTCTCAGCTGTCCTCACATTCCTGCAGCACAGGATGCAGAATCTGAACGTTCCATTGCACCACCACGTAATTTGTGATGTGCCTTCTTGCTCTGCTACAGAGATACCTTGCTCTGGTTTAATTTAAACCACTTCCAAAGCGGCCTATGCAGGTTTCAGAAAGCCTGTTTATAATGGGCTACAATCCCACAGGACCCACAGCAAAACACCAGGAATAAAACACAGCCGTTGCTCTCCAGCCCTCAGGTCCCAGAGGTCAGAAATGTTGCCAAGCCTACAAACTAATGCCCCCAGACACAACACAGTACGTCCTTACAGGACCAGGCACCCTGTGCCAGTGTTCTGCACGTGCAGGAGCTGCAGAGATGCCTTTGTAAATGCAACACGCAAATAAAACTCGGCAGCACTTTCCATCTCTCTGCCTATCTCAGGCCTCAGCACAGCTCCCAGGACTACTCAATTTTCATCATTGATGCCATGCACTGTGACATGGAAACCAGACTGTTCCCACGGCACGTGGAGCTTCAAAACCCTGCAGTAAAACCATGAGCTTCTTTTTACAACGGTCACTGCAGAGAGGCACCCAGCAGCTAAACTCAGTGTTTGTAGAGCTCTCCATGATGCAAATGATTGACCAGCAGTGGGGACATTTATTGACTGATGGGTGCAACTGATAAGCTGGAATCACTGCCTCAGCCGTGAGGAGCAACCCGTTGAGTGGAGAGCCCAAATTTAGAGAGCAATTATCTGGAATGACAAATCCAACAGCTCTAATCAGGATAAGCAGAATTTTCAACTCAGAACAGAAAGGGACAAAAAAAGCTCTCTCACTGCAAACGTGCAGCAGCAGAGCACAGCTCTGAGCCCCTCACTGTCAGCACTGCCATCCACACCTGGAAGCAAGCAATGAGGTGCAGGGATGCTTTTTAAAGTGGTAGTTAGGTACATCCTCTGCTCCAACAGCTTGCCTGTTGGGGAATCGTTAACTAAATCTGACACAATGTATTTCAGAGCATTTCTAAAAGAAATTCTTCATAGAAAGGCTGCCTGACAGGTGCAGCAGCTCCTGGGTTCTCCATTCAGTTTGCAGAAGAGATCAGCGAGTTCCCATCTGACTTTCTAAAACACACTGCCTATTGAGTCACTAATTATCATCGATTAGAAAAACAGTTCTGCAACACAGCACTGCTTTATCTCCTGAATGGCTCTAGCAAAAACACTCAAAGCACCTCCAAATTTTAACCTGACAAGTGAAGTCCTTGATGACTTGCAGACCTAAGCCGATTCATTTCCCCCACACAAAAAGAGGCTTACTCTGGCAAGCATCATAAAACAAGAACTGTGCAAAGTTCTACACAACCGAGATGGTTTCTTGCTGCTAACAATGCATGGCACTTCCAATGAGGTTTTTTTTTCCAGTTTCTTCCCAGAAATGGTTTGGCATCATTTACGACAATTTGTTCAATACTCAAGTTGCAGTTAAATAGGTTGGTTTTTTTCATAATTATACAATAACTACCCTGGTTTAACAGGTTAAGGAACACCGTCATCTAATTTTCTGCAGATACATAATTAAAATGCAGCCACTTAAGTTATATTAACAAAGAAAAATTACTGAAGTGACATTTTACAACACCGCAATGAGCAGCAAATAGACAACAGTGACGCTGCTGCACAGGTTTTACCCAGCGAAACCCAGGAGGACGAGCTGAGGATCCAACAGCACAGCACAACCCCAGGGAAAGGCACAGCACAGCACCAGCAGGCAGCTGCCCTACCAGCACCTACCGAAAGCCCTGCTCCCTGATGGCGAAGGCGGGCGTCTCCAGGGGGAAGATCTCAGACTGGACGAAGAGCTCACGCACCCGGCGGTCGATGACCTTCCCATACTGTGCACCAGCATCCAGGATGACGACAGCTCCCTCGTAGTGGTGCTGCCCGTCCTTCAGTTCTCCTCCAGTGTTCTCTGGCTGTGAACACGGCTCAGTCAGCGCTCTGTGGGACACTGCAGCCTTATGGCACACATCCCACAGCTGCAGGGCTGCTAGGGGTGCCTGCACCTTAACTCCTGGCTAAATAGACTAAAGGCAAGACTTGTAAATGGAAGAACCTGCAAGTCTACAAAGCTCAGCGTGTCCACGAGCTTGCTACACTGACACAACACATCCCTCCCATGCAGCAACATCCCCATCCCCAAATCCAAGCACAGCACAAACTACATCAGCCTTTCCCCTTCGTGATGGGACAGCCTCCCACAGACAAGCAGCACCATGCCCTGTTCACCAGCACAGCTCCATCCTCTGCCACATTACAGTTCTGCATGCAGCCCAGCACACCATATGATAACGAAGAGCATGTGCCTCATTCCTCAAGCAAAGCAGCACTATGGAAAAATGTGTTTCCCCATCGCATCGCCTCGTACTCTGAGCTTTCACTTGTCATTACATCCAGGGGGGAGCAGGGAGTAGAAATTGAAAACAAATGTTTCTGCTTCAATTTATGAAAAACAAACTTTTGAATGCAGCATTCAAGCAGTCCCTGCAGTCTGCACACTAGGCTGCTTGAGCTGGATGGCCAGCTTCAGCCAAACCTGGCAGAGGGCAAGAAAACATATGGATGGGTTCCTTTTTCTCTAAGGAGAACGAGTGCTCTGTGGAAATGCCCTCACCAAGGGGTCTTTGAGGAAGAATGTGAATTCCACCATGCTAAGATGCCAGGAAATTCATGCAGAAAAAACTTTTGCTCCTGAAATCACTCACTTTGGAGTTTTATTCCCCTTAACTTAGAACTTAACACTGTTTCCTTGCCAGTGTAATTTGATGAAGGAAAACCTAGGAAGGGTTTTACTTTGGTAAATGCTACCTTAGCAGACATTTTGAAGCTCTCCCAAATGCAAAGGCTGCCCTAGAGCTGCCTTGCTCAGCCCCAGAGGGACAGTGCTCTGCCAGCAGCTGCCCTGGGCCGGCTGCAGATAGCGAGCACCCAGGGAACTTCCAGAGCTCACAGCAACCAGGAAATGTTTTGTCCATCTAAATTAAAGGATGAAAAAAAAAAAAAAAAAAAAAAAAAAACAGTACTAAATCCTTCAAAAGCCTAAATCCAGGTTAGAGTCTTTATTAATTTCTTTGCTTCAGCTGATAACTGATGAGAAGCTCTTAATGACTTCTCAGTGCTGAGCCAGGCAGCACGAGGAGCTCCTGCTCAAGCAGAGACTGGGGCAAGCTACTGCTCCAAAGTGCTGCTGAGCATGCCCACCTAGCAAATCATAAATTAACAGCTCCCGTAATAACAACCAATGTCCTTATTCTTACCATCTTGTGGCAAACACAACCCTTTCTAGAGCTGAGATCTTATGAATAGTCTTGAACCATATGGCTTCAGAGCATGCTGCAGGGACAGAGGCTTTATCTTTAAGGCTCCTTCCAGCCCAGCCATGCTGTGATTCAATGGCAAGCAGGTCTGTGCTTTGCCTGAAACTGTACCTTCAGCTCTCCACAGCAAGAGCAGCGCATTGAGGCATACCCTCAACATGCCTGGGATGAAGGCCTTATAACTCCTCCGGATGCCAGCTGCCTGACTCCTGCACAAGGCACAGCACCACGTGTGCAACAACAGGGGAGAGGCACCTTCACAGACAACTGTACCCACACCGGGAGTGCTGCACCACCTGCGTGGCTCACAAGGCAGGAAGTCAAAACAAGATCTGCCTTCATTTACTTGAAGGCACAGAACCAAGATTTGGAATCCAAATTTAACATGGCAAACACCATTTAGTGGCATCAAAAATGAAGCGGATGCTGTTAACGTGCAGCCAACACGGCAGTCCACCTTACACACATGCATATCACATTCGTGCCAGGAGGATGCTGAGGAGGAGGAGCCCAGCTGCTATGGGAATGGGCACATGGAGCCTGTTGGGCAGCACTGCCCTTGTGGGCACTTCTAGTTTCTGACCCAAGCTCTTTTCCCTTCGGCAGGGTTATAACCAGAGCTGGTCTGTTTCTAAAACAAATCCCTAGAAACAGCTGTTTGGGAGAATGCCTCTTAAACCTGGTTGGACAAGCAAGCAAGATGGTTCAAGGCACAGAACACAGTTGCACCTGCTCTGACATGCGGGAGAGCAAGGCTAGGGCAGCAGAACAGAAGTTACACTTCCTAAGAGAAAAACGGGGGGAAAAAAGGCTATAGTGAGCTATAGTGAGTCACGAGACTCCTGCTGAAAACCATACCAGAACACAAAACGTCCCTACTGCCACCCACACCTGAAGAACCAATAACCCAATAAACCCCAGACCAGTGGCCGGCCCATCGCTGCAGTTCTATCACCCCATAACTCCGGAAGGAGAAGGTGCTGCCGCTGGCTTTCAGCATTAGAAAACACAGCGTCGGTTCTATAAGAACAACGCCAATCCTACGAGCAGCTCCAGCACGGATCCTGTCTTCAGGTGCCCGATGAAGGACACAACCCGCCTCGTCCCCGGTGCCCGCACACGGGCGCTAAGCAGCGCCCCGCAGCCCGCCCTGCAGTGCCCGCACACCCACGGACCTCCATCACGGCCCCGCGAGGCCGCGGCACAACCGGCACCGCAACGAGCCGCAGCCAGGAGCTCGCTCCGGCGCTCCCAAGGTTTTACGAGATTAATCGCTCCCCTGCGATACGAGAATTAAGCAGCCGTAAGGACGCGTCCTCCTCTTTCTCTCGACGCGCGGCAGAGAAGCGCCTGCTTCCCGCAAAGGAAACCCCACAACGGGCAGGAAACCCCCGGCCCCAACCCGGCCCCGGAGGCCGCACGGCCGGGCCGAAGAGCGCGGTGCCCTGTCGAGGAGCAGCCCCGGGCCGCTCACCGGACGCTCCCGGAGCGCGGTTCGCTTCCGGCGGCCCGAGGCGCAGCTCCGGGGCCGGGCGGAGGGGCTCCGCGGCGAGCAGCCCCCGCAGCCCTTTGTTCGGGCCTGGGGCCGGGCCGTCCCCCAGCGCTCCGCACGGCGCCCACCCGCACCACCGAGCAAACGGTGAACCGCCGCAGGGCCGCCCGAGCCGCCGCCGGCCCCGGGCCCGGCCGTTCCGAGAGGGGCCGGAGCACGACAGGGGCCAGGCCGCGCCATGTGCCCGCCGCCCCCGGCACAAAGCGGCCCGAGCCGAGCGCAGAGCCTCGCACCGACCTTGGCGTCTCCGTTGCACAGCGCCATAGGGACGGCCGCGGGAGCCGAGGGGAGAAAGAACCGAGCCAAACCAAGGCCGCCCGTGTGCGCCTCCGCCGCGGGGAGGAACCGCCTCCAGCACCCCGCGCCGGGCAGCGCCGCCCCGGCAGGAAGAGGCGGAGCTCGGAGCCGGGGAGGGGCGTGGGCAGCGGTACTGCTGGCCGGGCGGGGCGGGGCTGTCCTGTCTACGGACTGTCCCGACCCTGGGCTGCACCGTCTTGGCGGTGCTCGGGACGGGCTGGCCGGGCCCTGCGCACCCCGGGGTGCAGCCGGCTGACGGCAGGGCGGGGGGCTGCGAGGTCCCTTCCAACCCAACTGTCCTACGATTCCGTTACGGATCGCGGTATAACGTGTGCTTTTACTAAATGTCTACGTTTTACATTGGCACAGAAACACCTACAGCTCAGCAGTTCACGCTGCTCCAAAAGTAACGCCTCCTATTTTACGTTGTCCCACGGCACTAAAGGCAGGTGCTGGGGTTGAACCTTCCCCCCTTCCTTTACGTTTTGTAGGGGAATAAAAGGCGCCCATTGGCACTCATCGCTGCGTGCTGAACGCTCGTGGACATCGAACAGCGGATCTCAGCACAGCGCGCGGTGCGTGGTGCGTTTCAGCAGCGATGGCGATCAGCAGCGCAAGGGGCGAAAAAAACACCGGGGTAAAGCAGCGCTGACTCAGCTCGGTCCTTACAGACCCGCGCTGCAGGCATGGACTCGCTCCGCACCGTCCGCCCGCCGCTGGCTCCAGCTCAGGGCTTTGCAGCCAGCCCTGCAGCGGCCCGGTCTCTCAGCCGCCAGCGGGAAGGCGGAACCAATCGCGGCTGAACCGAAACAAACGTCGTCCGGCGTCCTCGGGCGGCACGAGCCGCTGCCGGAAGTGGCTCCGCCGCGCACCAATGGGACGCGGCCACGCCTGCCCGCTGCCGCCGCATGACCGGAAAGGGCGGGACGTACCGGCGCGGCGGAGCCGGCGCGCGGCTTCTCCACAGCGGAGGGTGGTGGCGCGGCCTCCGCTCCCGTCTGGGGTTGCCGCGCAGCGCCTGGCCCGGCGCCATGTCGCCCGCCATCGCGGCCAAGGAGGGCGGCCGGCAGCGCCGACCTGGCAGCCACCATCACTGCCTGGACGTAAGGAGTGAGGTGCCGCCCGCGCTGACGCTCTGCGGGGACGGCCCGGCGGGCGGTGAGGCCGAGGCGCTGCTCCCGCCGGAGCCGGAGACGCTGACGGCGAGGGGCCCGCGGGGCTGCCGGGCGGAGCTGGGCAGCGTGCTGCTGCTGCTGGCGCTGTACGTGTTGCAGGGCATCCCGCTGGGGCTGGCGGGCAGCGTGCCGCTCATCCTGCAGAGCAAGAATGCCAGCTACACTGAGCAGGCCTTCTTCAGCTTCGTCTTCTGGCCCTTCAGTCTCAAGCTGCTCTGGGCCCCCCTGGTGGACGCCGTTTACCTGCGGCGCTTCGGCCGCCGCAAGTCGTGGCTGGTGCCCACGCAATACGTGCTGGGGCTCTTCATGATCTACTTGTCCACGCAGGTGGACGTGCTGCTGGGCGACGGGCAGGGCCACGGCCCCGACGTGGTAGCCCTCACCGTGACTTTCTTCATCTTCGAGTTCCTGGCGGCCACTCAGGACATCGCTGTGGATGGTTGGGCCCTTACCATGCTGTCCCGGGAGAACGTGGGCTACGCTTCCACCTGCAACTCGGTGGGACAGACGGCTGGCTACTTCCTGGGCAACGTGCTCTTCCTGGCCCTTGAGTCAGCCTCCTTCTGCAACAAGTACCTGCGCTTCCAGCCCCAGCCACGAGGCATCGTGACCCTCTCAGGTACTGCCTGGGTGCCAGTGTGCACACCGGTATAGGGAGGATGATGCTTCCTCCCTGAGGCCGGAGCACAGCGTGGTTCAAAGCAAGTCTTATGGAGTGTAGGAAGCTGGCAGAGCTTGTGGCTTGAAGAGCTGAGGAAGCTGGGCTTTTCCAGCCTGGAGAAAAGCCCTTTTCTCCAGGAAGATCTGGTGAGACCTCAGTGTGACCTTCCAACACTTGAAGGGAGCTTATAAACGGGAGGGAGAGCAACTTTTTACGTGGCAGATATTGATAGGACAAGGGCAATGGCTTTAAACTAAAAGAGGAGTGATCTAGGTCAGATGTTAAGAGGAAATTCTTTACTTAGAGAGTGGTGAGGCCCTGGCACTGCTGCTCAGAGAGCTGGGGATGCTTAAAGCTGGGCTGGATGGGGCCCTGGGCAGCCTGAATTGGGAGGAGGTGTCCCCGCCTGTGGCAGAGGTTAAGGTGGACTGGGCAAGTGGACAAAATCCCTTCCAACCCAACCATTCTGTTATTCTGTGACTGAGCTCCCAAGTTTCCCTGGACTGAGTGAGGGAAATCTGCCCTGTCATGGACAGGCTGAGCTCAGCACTTCAGAAACTTAGTTGCTTTAACTTCTCTTAGTGTAACAACTGTGGAATAGATTACTGTTTAAAAAAGACACCAAAGCTTTGTCTCATTAAGAAGGCACTATGGGAACGTGTTCTGGAATAAAGGCAGTATCTTCTTCCAAAATGATGGTGTTTGCAGGAATAGAAGTATGATGAGGGTTTAGTCTTGACCTTATTTCCAGACTGCAAAGGGAGATCACCTTTAAGTTGATTCAGGGGGATTTTTTTTCCTTAATTAAACAGAATCTGATAATGCATCCTTATTTAATTGTTAGGGCTGTTTGTTTGTCCTGTGTCTTGTCCATATGTCAGCAAGCACAGAGTACTCCTCAAAGTTGTCCCTGCTGGATCTTTGTCCTTCTTGCTGTGCAGTTCAGCAGCGCTGGCATGTCTTCCCTCTTGCTGCAGCAGCAGACTGACGTCTTTCACTGCTGATGCAACTTGGAAATTACTTGTGTACTCAGAGCTTTCTTTGTCTTTGCTTACCTTCGCTCTCCAGGGTGTGTTGTTGCTGTCTTTTCTTTTTAGTTCTGCTTTTATAAAGGTTTTCTTACAAATATGCCGCTTTTAAAAAAAAAACAACACTAAAATCAAAGCACCTATAGAACCTGTCTGACTTGTATTGGAGAATTAATCTGGGTGGAGAAAGAAAAGCAAGCACGTCTGACATTGTAGTTGCAGGATATGTTGTTTCAGGGGAGCAAAACTGTCTTGAAGAAGTCTCTGTTCTCTCCTCTGTGTGACTGTGCCTCTCAGCTCACCGTGTCCATGCTTGTCCTGTAGCAACTGTAGCAGCCAGCCCTGAAAGGACAGGTGTGGCTCTGGTCCCAGTGCCGATTGTCTCAGGGCTGGAGGAGAGCTGCAGGGAACTTCACAGTGCACGAAGGTGACTGGTTTTCTGCCGGTTCAGCTCACTGAACGCTGCTGTTCACTGGGTGCTCTTAGGGAAAGAACAAGCCAGTGCCTCACGAGCCTGAGTCAGCCTCAAGCTGCTGAGGGGCAAAAGCGTTCGTTGTGCTGTGAACTGTGGGAAACAACACGAGACAGCGTAGTATCAAAACAAACAATGAAGTTCTGGAGAAAAAAAGTGAGGAACGTGTTTCCGTGATCCTGTTGTTTGTGCTAGCATGTGTACAACTTTGGGGCTTTGCTGTTCAAATGACTTGATTATTTTTCCTTCAGAAGCTCACTGGCTGGGTTTGTTGATTCCTGAGCAGTTTGTTACGTGGCCACACGAATGATTGCTGTAGTTTAAAGGAAGAGGTGTAGTGCAGGAAGAAGGAGCCTCTCCAAGGCAGCCTGGGTTTATTTTGGCTGCTGACTGGGACGTGCTTTCTGCTGGGAGACGTATAGCTGTGGTATTTCTAAAGCTGCTGTGATGGAACGACTGTCCTATCCCACACCTCACTGATATTTTTACAGCCTGCTCTATCCCTGGTTTGAAGTTTGATTTTACCCTAACAGAATGGATTGTTTTCCCAGTGATAGTGTGCAGGCAGAGACGAAGCAGGGATGGGGACGGGCAGCACTGGTGGCACCAGAAATGCTAGAAAACATCTACAGTTAAAAAACGTGGGTTTTTTTTCCTCATGGCTCCTGTATGCGGCCTTGTAGCTAGTCCAGCTGTTGCTGTGAGGCACCCGGCAGGGCTGACCTGATCAGGAATATTCATGTGTTGATGCTCACAGCTGTTTCCATTCCCACGCTGCAGTGGTAACACTTACTGCTGTCATTAGAGCCATGTCCTGGGTGTCCTGTGTACAAGGCAGCTGTGAGCAGCGTGGCTCTGAGCACTGATGTTTACTCAGAAGATACTTGCAGGGTATTTGAAACAACAACAAACCAACCCCAACAATAGAGGAGGGAGCAATCTGGCAGTATTGGCTATGAGGTCTTCTCTCCTTCAAGGTATTTTTGAAGAGGGAAAAATAAGTGATGTGGAAGCAGCAGATGTTAGTTTGAAATGCCATTTTTAATTTTAAACTGAAAATGCTGGGGTGCAGCTGGAGCAGCCTTTCCATGCCTGTGCTGCTTCTCTTCCTGCCAACGATGAGCAGCTAATGATTGACAAAACCTTGGCCCCATCTTTGCCCTTTCACCATCTCTCCCTTTCAGTTAACTTGAGGCTTCTGGAGTGGCTTCTGATCAGAAAGATGAAAGGTTATTTCTGTTATACCCTCTGCACGTGATTGAGTTCTTTCTTGCCTCTTTCACAGAGGTGGAGGGTGGAACTACCTTGTATGATCTTGTCACCAACTCAAGGCACTTGTCTTAAGATGCTGATGTGCTTCACTATTGCTCCCTGCAAATCCACTGCTTAACAAATATAACATCTGCTTAGAACAGTATGCTTAAAAGGTAGCAAATGCCACATGCTCTTAAACATCTCTCCAAGTGACATGATGATTGTAGAGGAGCTTTGGTCAGAGTGCCCTTATGCTCGTTTGGTGTGGATCTGTTTCCTTTAGATGGTAGATATTAAAAGGAGTGCAGAATTAGGGTGAAAAATGGTAGTGTGACTACACAGTGAATTAACTGGAGAGTGGTGGAACAACACTGATGGTTTTTCTCACCATCATGTAATTGTTCAATGTGGTTTTTTCTTCCTTTGTTCACTTCTGGTGGTTTTATGTGCAGCTACTCAAAATATTCCCGTTTCTGTTCTCCATCATGCTTGAGTATACTTG